ACATCAGCACTGACCATCAGATTAATAATTGTATTTACACTGAGTTCAAAACAAAATCTCCCATGTCTTTCTCTGTCCAAACCAATATTCCAGGTTCTCTGCTTTGTGCACAGGCTGAGGCAAAGTTGCAGCAGTGGATGCAAAAGTGAGATAATCACTTTTGCTAGGACAGGAGAGAAGGGAATAAACCAAAAACAAACAAACAAACAAACAGACAAAACCCAAAAACAAGCAAACAAACAAATAATCTGGCAAGCATGTGGGAGAGCTCAAGAAATTGTGGAAAATGCTGGCTGATTTCTTGATGACAGGGATGAAATTCCAGTGTAGAAGCATGCTGAATAGACAAGGCAGGGAAACAGGTTGTGCCATGTCAAGGTAGGCAGGGAAACAGGTTGTGCCATGTCAAGGTTTTCTTCTGAAGTTACCACAGGGGAGCCAGGTGTGCTCCAGACAAATGAGAGGTGTGCTCATTCTACAAATGAGAGTTAGTTAGTAGTCCTACTACTTGCTCACTGCCCTCAGATAAATGTCTAAATTACGTTTTGAATGGTTTATGTTAAAGGAGATATTTCATGCACCTTCACACACCTGCCAAAGGAAACATTACCCAATCAGGAAAAGTATCAGGGAGAGGAACCTCTGCAGGAAAAAATCAGGTTTGCACAGTCCTTTTCCCCTCTGAGTGAGGGGGGTGCCAGAGGAGCTGCAAGAGGGACACCTGGTACAGCTGCTGCGTGTTCTCCTCATGGGGAGCAGCAATTCAGGGCCCCCACCTCCAGCACCCAAATGTAAGTAACAGATTCTGTGGGCAGACAAAAATAGAAGCACACTAACAAGCTGGCAGGAGCATCTCTTGAGTCACAGTGAGTGCCTCAGTATTGCAGTTATGACCTTTAATCAAAACTAATTGTTTCATTATTTTATTTTTTTTTTTTTTCTGAAAGGCTGCCTTTTTTTACATGATTTGAAATGGATGTAGCATTTGGAACTGAAGCACATCTAAATATTAAACATAATTATTTTCAAGTCTCCATTTTCAAAACGGGTAAGACACAGCTTTATAGCAAAGCAAGTCAAGGATATGGAAAGTATTTTAATGACATTGGCTCCAAAAAAAGCTTTCTTTGAAGGGCACTAAAGGAACTTTTCTGTTAAATACCTGGAGATGCAAATTCACCCCACCACCAGTGCTGCAGGAAATTACCTGAAATACCAATGCTTTATTGTATTTATTGAAGAATTTTACATTGTTTTCATTCAAAGGCATCTGTGAAGCAAAATATTTTCAAATCAAATGACAGTCTTGGAGTTTGCCATCTCTGGGGGTGGAAGCCAGGATATGATGCACTCGTTACAAACCAAACTAGAACTGACCCTGTAGCATCTGTGAAACCCAAAAGCTGCACCCAAAAACTTTAGATGCCCAAAGCAACATTAAGGGCACATTATGAGCACAACTCTGAAATGCCAAACCCTCCCTGGCTAATGACTGCTGGAACTCACCAGACTGCTTTCCTGACTTCCCTCTCTGACCAGCTTGGTCAGATGCACCTCAGGGTTTTTCCTTCTTATTTCCTGGCTCCTGCTTTAACCTTACTGGGACCAGGTCCTAGCAGAAGCACTGCCTCCTCTGAGGTCCAGCTCATGGTGTGGCAGCACCATCCAGCTTTTACATGTTCATAAAATGTAAATTTTACATGTTCATAAAATGTAAAATTATTTCTGGTTCTTTTTTATTTTTTCTTTTTAAATCCAATAGTTACTTAATATAAAATACATATAAAGGGATAGGAGCAAATCTCTCTTCGTTGGGAGTTCCTTCATTTATAGATTCACTGTTATATGATAGATTTCCCTCTAAGAGATTAATCATTCCTTCTTTTTTTTCAGACTTGCTGGGTTTCTTAGAGCTGAGTGGATGACAATTTTTTTCACAATGAGGATTGTTTAAAGGGAAGTGTGTGATGATGAGTTTCTTCCCGACAAAAGGTCCTCCCAGGAAGAACACCAGCTTGCCTGGATCACAGAGCAGCAGCGCTGCAGAAATGTGTTACTGAGTCTGCAACACCTTGTGTGATCTGAGAGTACTTAAAGGTAAAATACAAAGCTTCTGTCCAATATTATGAAACCTCTATGTCAGAAATTCTCTGGGAATGCAGTTCAGCTTCTTTTGTCAAGTCTTGAATCTTCCAGACAAGGAGGGGTTTCTAAACCTTGTGAATTATCCTTCATCTGTCAATTAAATTAATGTGTGACTGACTATCTTGTGTATTCCCTGTTTATCTCATGGAAAGTATATTACAGTTCATCTTTCACTGATACCAAAAAAATTGCTTCCTGTAGCAAAGGGGCCCTGGGACACCCTTTTTGTAGCTCATCTAGAGAAACAGATCCTGAGGAGGGAAAGCAAGGAGCTGAAAAATCCTTCCTAAAACATTTTCCTGCAGAGGCAGAGGCATGATGTGAGATTAATGGATTCTTAGAGCAGACAGCCTTGTGATTTTACTGAGGTGTGTTCTCATGTAGTGCTCTGCAAAGACATGGAGGCAGCTGAAATAATGGCCACATTCACCCAGAAATTGTGCCAGGCCTATGTCCTAGCTCTGGCCACCTGCAAAGGTTCTGAGGGAGGCTGGATGGAGGTTTTGATGTGACAGCAGGAGGTGGTGCTTTCCTCCTTGCTTATATTTGTGTGTGATGCCTTGGAGTGGCTACCTAGAACAGAGGCTAGACAGAGCTAAGAGAATAAAGTGGGTATTTATTAAAGGCCTTCAATAGACACACCTTGGGCAGAGCAAAAGCCTTCCAGAGGCTACACCCAAGATGCACAATGGTCACGAGATTTTCAGACAGATATCGGAGTTAATTCTCCAATTACAGCTTCAGGCCATGAAGTCATTTACCCCCAATTTGTTCCTCTGCAATTCACTTTGGTTTATGCTTTTTGGGCCTGAGGTAGAGTGTGTCCTTGGTTCTCAGGCCTGGAAAGATTGTTTTGTCTGACCAAAATGTGAAGAGAGCTCACTAACACTCCGTATGGATCTCAGAGTTACGCACTGATGCAGTACAGGATTTGAAACATATAAAAGCTAAAAACTTAAGGCATCATGTAAAGCATGAGAAGCCAGGTGGTGAATGACCCCAACAGGGTGCACAGGGGTGTCCACAGAACGACCATCTCTGCACTGTGGTGACCTGGGTGGCAGCTCTGCATCATCTCTGCAAGCACAGCTTGTCCTGTTACGTGCACAAAGCCGCGGTCCCACGCTCCGCGAGCCTGACCCTGACAACCACAGCGCAGCTGACAGAGTTAAAGTTTAAAAATAAAAGATGCCTCCACGGGAAAATCCTCATGGGTCAGAGAAAGGAAGATAGTTCTGGTGAGCTTCAAATCTATTGTCCATAGGAGAAGTCTGAAAGAAATATGAGAGAAGAATAATATCCCGTATTATTTCTCTAGTCTGTGAAAAAAAGGAATATCTGAAAACTGAACTCCCCTGTAAGAGGACAAAACAAATGGCCAGCCTAAAATGGTTTGGGGTCTCTATGGAAGAATATACCTATTTGTGTGTTTTTTAAGCAGAAACTCTCAGTTATTAAAAAAAAAAGTACAAACCCAAAACAAACAAACAAAAACCCCCCTACAATTTTTAATCAGACTTCATTTTTCTCATGGGAAAGGAAAACAGGGACCTTTTTTCTTTAGTCATGTATTTTTCCCTCAAAATAAAAAGCAGCCAGATCAAGGGAAGCTTTAGGACTCGGAAACAAGTAAAGCTCCCAGGGCAAAAACACCTTGAGAGAAGTTCAGAAATTAAGCAGTAAATGTTACTGACTATACCTCTCCCATTGCATGGTCAGATTGTTTTCTAAACAAAGTTCACCACTGGCATCCATATCATCCACTGTATTTTAAGGTAAGGGATTGAAATATTTGTCTGAAGACCACAAATTTTCATCAGTATTCAGAATGACTGATACAACTGGTAACAGAGCAGAAGAGACAAGCAGATTTTTTTGCTCTGATTTTGCACACATATGAGAATACCTTGTGGGTTTTTTCAACTTTTTTTTTTTTTTTTTGGTGGTGGGTTTTGGATTCTCTTTCTGTACACCTTTGGATGTTAATGTTCTGCTGAAGAATATTTCAAAGCTGCAGGGCTGAAATTACAGCCTTGCTTTAAGAAAACGACAGCACTGTGAGCTAATTGTTTCTTACAGACAAATAGGATTTCCAGTTGAGTTTGTGGGGCTTTTTTTTGTGCAAGATTCTAGGCCTTAAAAATGCAGCTTTTTAACTTGTGTATTCACCATTCTTTTGACAGTACCTGATCGTTTATGTTTAGAAATACAAGTGCAAAAGAATGGAAACCAAAGATTATTGTAATTCCCTCTAGCTTGAACCCTCTAAGGTGGTTCAAGTTCCTTCCCACCTAGATGAAAGTATCAGCTTTACAGAAGTTGTCTAATTTTCTTCATTTATTTAATAAAGCTGTAACTGTCTATTATGGCCTATATAGCAGGAAAAAAATACTGACATCAGGCTTAAAAATAACAATAATAAAATTAATGTGTAACTTGTTGTGTATTCCCTGCTTATTTTATGGAAAGTATATTACAGTTCATCTTTCACTGCTACCAAAAAGCATAGTATAAAACCCATTTATTGAAATTTTCTGTTGCAAATATTGTTTTGGTGTGGACTTATGGCTGGTAAGATAAATTTGCAACTTGCTGTTTCATCTGGATGTCAGCCATGTTGGTGCCTCTAAAAGATTTAGCATTTTTAGTTATGTTATTACAAGTACACATTGAAGGTATTTGCTGTGGAAAAGAGCTGCAGTGCTGGTGTCTGTTGTACCTACACATTCTGTTTTGAAAAGAAGAGTGTACACAGAGGAAGAAAAACAGCCTGTGGGGTGCACATTTCAAACTATTGCACAAATTCCAGTGGTGCAAATATATTGAATTTTCACAGATTCCCATACCCAGACCTTCACAGGAGGTATCTTAGAAAGCTGGCAACCTCTTTAGCAAATGCAGTGAGTAATTCAAGCTTTTAGGATAACTGTGACTCTTTTTATGTATAAATCACCCTCACACACCTCATGTAGATGAATTCAAAATATTTTGTGGGCACATTTACACATTAAAGGGCAGTTTGCATTTTAAACATTCAACAATGCATGAAGTAAAATGGTATTGGGGAGTGTCTGCAGAGGAAAAGAACAGATGCATTTCTAGCACTGTTTTACTGTTGAAATTAAACCCATCGACTTCCTTCAACAATGCCAACAGCTAAATGGTGCACCAAGAGGCTCTTTTTGCACACAGAGATCTGCCTTTAAAAGCTGTTCACAGAAGGGGAATATGTGCCTGCAGGAGGAGGGCAATTTCAGCCTGATATCAAATTTTCAAGAAGAAAAAGATGAAGCACAGTTGAAAAGGGCACTGCTGCTTCATCCATTTAGACTGTGCAGCCAACTACAGTACAGGATACATTGTGGAGGGATGCAATTTAATTTGTTAGCCTGGTGCTTTCTGTAATCGAGTTTTGTTTGGTTAAGGTAGGTTTAAAACGTCAGTCACAGCAACTGAGGTGTGAGTGAATGGAAACATCTTTGCCCAAATAGTTTGTGTACAGATGTTTGAGCCAGAAGAAACTTGCCATGTGTTTTTGTAGCTAAGGAAGTGAGTAATCAGTGAAACTAGTATGGGTGGTATAGGAAAATCATGCACATGGTCTTGGCACAGCTGTCTGCTTGCCACATTCCATGAGATATTTCATAATGGAAAACCAATTGCTCCACTAATATAGGATACCTGCAAATCAGGATTGTGTTGTGGAGCATCCAGCGATGTCACGGGACTGGACACATCCCTCCAGTCCATCTCAGGTGAGAGACAAGGGCAAAAGAAGTCCCCAGGTGTTAACTTAAAAGAGAGAGAAGAACATCCTCTTGGATGTGTTTATTGCTTAATCGTAATTTTTATTCAAATTTCAAAAGGCCAGAAAGTGTAAGTGGTTGTTAAGTCAGCAGAACTATATAAATACCTGCACTAGCAGAATATTTGAGTCTGCTAAGCAAGACTGCAGGGCCCTGTGCCTCAAATGGTTTTCTGCTGATCACATTCAATTTGCTTGTTTCAGAGGCTTTTCTGTTTCTTGCATATAATTTACACAGAACATTGTGTGTGTACACAGAACACAGAACACAGAACATGCTGTGAATGCCCTGACAAGAAATAGCAATAAATAGGTGCCACCACTCCACTGTTAATGTTTCTAGCTAAAATATTTGCCTTGAATTCATGCACACATAGACTGTGTGTGCCACACTTCAACCTGGATGCTTTCAATACTTTCTTGAGTTATCAGTATCTCACTATTGCTAATCTGTGTGTACCTCTAATTATACTGGGGAAATTTATGGCAGCTGGAGGTCAGCTCCAGAGTCTCTGTGTCTTACAGAAATGTGTATTTTATTGCAGCAACATGGGTGGAGTGATTCACAAGTATGGATAGGTATTATCCCTCTTGTGTGTTCAGCCTGATGCCAAAAAATAACGGACTGAGTGTGCTTATCACTGAGTCATTAACTACATTTATCTTTTTAAAATCAGGTTCCTTCAAAACTGGAAAGAAATTGTGTACAAAACTTTGTCTATTCTAAGTTTTGCCATTTAAAACCAGTGTATCAAAAGCTGACCTTTCCTGGCACTCACAGATTTTCCATGTGCTGTACTTTTCTCCCATGGTTGCTAACTGCATTCAGATAATACCTAGCAAAAAAAAAAAAATGCCAGGAAAACCTTTTTCTGAAACAGCTTGGTCTGTGAAATGAAGCTCAGTTACTGGCTTGTGTGACTGCAGCTTTAGGAAAGACTTTTAACTGTGTGTGAGGTGTGTAAAATGCTTAAATAACATTAAAGGCTGTGACATACTTTGTGTGCAGAAAAACTTCCTGTAGCCAAAATACCAGAGGTCTTTCAGAATTGGGCACGACCACCTTTGGCCACAGTGGTACAATGTCTCAGTTTATGTATTTCTTCTTTTTTTAGTAACGATGTTGTTTATCACCAGATTTCTGTGTTTTCCTTCACCAAGTGACCAACAAGAAAAAAAAAAAATAGAAAGAAAAAGACCTGAAAATTAAAAAAAAAAAAAAAGCTTATTTAAAGTGGTCATTCCTAAAATTTTCTCTTCTTCTATTAGTCAGTCCTCTGCAATTCCATCAGTTGGTGGCTGAGCCATTGTTG